ACAATATCGTGACAATATGCAAACAAGATAAACTAGACAATCTTAAGTTTATATATAACTAATTATATTGTATTTTATCGTATATATGTATATACACATACAATATATATGTTTATATACATTCATATACAAATAAATAAAATATGTTCATCAGAATAGAAGATGCTCTTTCGATCTATTCTTAAAAATATTTAAGGATTGACAATTATATTTTTTAAATAATAATTGGGAAATATTGCGAAAAGTTCAATTGTTTCTGAAAACTGACAGATAAAAGCGACGTTGCCACACTTTGGTAAGGAAAGATTATGAATTCTCTTAAGTCACTAAAAAAAAAAACTCGTTATTGCAAGTACTTGGGATATGGCGTGAATTTACAGGGTACAGAGGAATAACACCTGAGTCCTCAGGAATGGCAACGCATGGGGAGTATCGTGGACGAAACAGTATACTCTGTTATGTGCATGGTACTGCTCATGTCTATAGGCGATGGTTACCACTTTCCATCAGGTGGGCCGTCAGCATGTTTACCATTCTAAGTTGTAACAAAAAAACAACTTACTGTTGACGTGGGGACATTAAGATTTTATTATAATAATGAGATTTGACTTTGTTATGTTATTAGTTTACGAGATGCGCCCGTGACAAACAAACAGACAGTGCCGGCGAGGCGGTTCATAATTTATGAACACCAATTAGAGACCGCGTTATACTATACGAGTTTTTGTGATTGCCCCAAAAACGGGTGGTATGGAGTCACTTTTCGACTGTAATTCTTTTTAAAAAATATAATATTGTTAACTGAGAGCCTACCATGAAATGTTTTCCAAAATTTCGGGTCCGAACGAAACACAAATTTGATGTTAAAATTATATGATACATACCGTTTAAAAATATTAAAAATGCTAAAGTATCGTTCCTTTGAACTTTTATAGTAGGATTTATGACAAACGAAATGTAAAGTTCCATTCACTGGGTCGATTTCGTATGAACAAAAACACGAAATTGAGTCCGAAAATTCGGAATTTCATTTCATGGTAGACCCCCTGATTCGATTGTTTTTAATTGATAGATAGTAGGTACGAATAATATCGGTATAGCTTTTTTATCTATATAATTTGGTAGCTTTTTTTTATTTTATATATGGGTTCCTTTGAACATTGATCGTGGTAAAAAAGATTACCGCCCATTTCGGTATCACTCATACTGGTATCTGTCCATATTAGTTTCAATCGGATCATCCATTTCGATATTATATACTGAATAATTGACACTTAATACATTCGTTATTGGATCAATATATAAATATTGTATCGACATGTACAAAAGTTAATTGCTTGGGTACCTCTGTCTCATTCGTGTTTCTACCGTGAAGCAGTTGTGTTTGCATGGCTGTGTTTCGGTTTGAAGGATGAGATATAACGTGAATTTACAGGGTACAGAGGAATAACACCTGAGTCCTCAGAAATGGCAACGCATGTGGGGTATCATGGGCGAAGCAGTATACTCTGTTATGTCCATGGTATTGCTCATGTCTATAGGCGACGGTTACCACTTTCCATCAGGTGGGCCGTCAGCTTGTTTGCCATTTTGTTGTATAAAAAAAAATATATATCTTGTGTATAGTCCATTCACAATTGTTAGACTTTACTCCTGTATTGTTTTTGTAACATTGAAATTACTGTATAAACACTGGTTGTTACAAATCAAGCTCTACTAATAGACAAAAGAATTCGCGTTCTAAATTTAAAAATTTGAAATTTAATGTATTCGAGAAACATTTCATCGTTCTTTAATGCATTTTATACGTTTTAAAATTAGAATAGTGAGAATACTAGGTAATATTAATGTTGGCACGAATTTCGCTCTGCAAAAAAAAAAAAATCAACTTTTCGCTGTTGTTTTCTGCGAAGAAATCTTATGATTTGGACGTGACGGAAAATTTTTGTTTTATGCTGATGACATGGTTACTTTAGAATAATACTTTAAATAAAAGATTCGGGCAAAATGAAATATCTGGGTATTTTCTATGTATAATATGTTTGTATTTACAAAAAATATACTTATCTAATGGCGCTGTGTAATACCAATGTTTTGTGTGTTACCAATTTATCGTAATAGATATATAAAAATCCCGTGTTATAATATTCGTTCATGGTAATTTTAACGGAATACATTTACAAAATTTTAATGAAATTTGGTATGTAATATAATTAAATTTTGTAAAAATATTTTTTCTCCTGAAGAAAACTTCCTGATAAACTCGAAACAATTGTCGGAAACGGCAGACGCAGTATGTTCGTTAAATTTCTGTACACTATTGTGTATGTACATAGACGTCATATAGAGACGTTAAATTATATCTCTTGTGTACAAGTGATAACTTTAGTACATAGCTATAGCATAACTAAAGTACATAGAAATCTCGATTTAGATTTATTTAACTCTAAGCTAAAAACTTCGAGACGTGTGCTGAGTCAGTGATTCTTTGATAGTTTATCTTTGAATGTATAACTTGAACTTTTTATTTTGCGTAACTGCCTACCTATTATGTTTGTGTTACTGTAATGTTGTTATTCTAAGTTTAATTTAGTTGATTGTAAGTATTAGCGATGTCATATGTATTTAGTTAAATCTTGTTTTTACAATATATGTGAAAACTTGTGATTGGCTTTTTATCTTCACTGTCCTTTTGTACTATAAATATTTTTAGTTGTTGGTCTTTCTTCAATAAAAATAAATAAATAAAATACTTTATATTCGATAAAAAATTGAGCCGGTAGATGGCGGTAGTGGTCAACTAGTTATTATTACATGTGGCAACTCTATTCGTTCCCCTGTCCGTAATCTCAGTGCCTATCGTCGACAGGGTGGTGTATCTCTTTTATTTTCGTTTATTTCATTTATAACCCATTTATTTTTTTGTACATCAAAATGTTCCCGCGTCGGCGCGGTCAGGAAATGGCTCTATTAATACGGGCCATTGATTATTTGGGGACAATTTCGAATTAAATTGAAAGTTCAGTAAATTTTATAAAGTAGGAAGGAAAGTAGCAACTATTGCCTATAGACATAAACAGCATTTGTGTTTCAACCGTGAAGCAGTTGTGTTAGCATGGCTGTGTTTCGGTTTGAAGGGTGGGATATGGCGTGAATTTACTGGGTACAGAGCAATAACACCCAAGTCCTCAGGAATGGCAACGCATGGGGGGTATCATGGGCGAAACAGTATACTCTGTTATGTCCATTGTACTGCTCATGTCTGTAGGCGACGGTTACCACTTTCCATCAGGTGGGCCGTCAGCTTGTTTGCCATTCTAAGTTGTTAAAAAAGCATATATAAATAAATTAATATAGGCATAAATAAATAAATAATTATAGACAGCATCATCATGAATACACTGTGATGCTTACAGTACCTCTCATGGGTTGTTATTTTTGAAAACTTTCTTATTATGTTTTAGTACCATATAATTTCACTAACATATCCTACTCTTCAAACCGAAAGACAGCTGCTACACGGCAGTAAGACGAATGCGTCATATGTGCAGACGACTAAATACTGGCCACAAATATCTTTCGCTATCCTTAATCGAAGGTTTGGGCGGCAAAGAAAAACAAGAATGGAAATTGGAAATTGTATATTAGTAGAAGGATGTTGCTAGAGCCGTGAAGGGGGAGTCAAAAGATTTAGAATCAAACAAAATTGACGATTTAAAAAGAGTTTGTACACAAGTCTATTTGAATTAGTTTATTTCTATTCTATTCCATGTTTCAATTTTGAATTTTGTAAATAATAATATAAAAACTATAAATAATATAAGCGGCCAGTACTCTACTGTAAGCATTTGTTGATTATTACCGCTTAAAAACGGTTTAGAATTAAGAAAAGATAGTTTTATTCTAATTTTAAAATGATTTTGATTTGAAAGAGACTGTTTTGAATGACGTACATGTAGTATTGTTATTATTGAGGGACGGCCAGTCAGAAAAATCTATGACATTGCGACTTTTCCATGATCTTTTGTGCTTGTTTTTTTTTAAAGTTCGTTGCTAATTCCTACCAGTGATAGGATTTTTAAGATGTTTTTTGTAGCGTGTTTTTTATCTCCCCAGAATATAAAGTGTATTTTCCAAAGGAGATATATCGTTCATGTATGAGTGGGCTGCAGCAAGACATTAAGTGCTGCGGCGTTTCTTCCTTATTGGGACAAAATCTCTACAAATACTTTTTGGGTATAAGCCTAGTTGGGCCATATGCTTGTTTAGTTTATAACAACAAAAACAGGGGCTTCTCTTTGCCCGCCAGATTATGTGTGGGCGGGCGAGGTAGGGCCCTCGGGGCGTACCCCATTACCCCGGCTTCTACTCCGGAGGCGACTGCCTTCGGGTCGCTGGGTTTGCAGCCGGCATACACTGTTGGTCTGTGTATGCCGGCGTGGTGTACCTTGTTTAGTTTGCAGTATCCAGAAAGAGATCTTGTAAAAGCACGCAAGTACTATTTAGTTTAAGACTAATATTTATGCTGTGGTTTTAAACTAGGTGGCGATGTGTGATATAAATATGTTTTTTTTATTATTTTTAACATTGGTATGTAATTAAATTGTATACATCAAATTGTAGGCTTAATTATCGATAATATATGAACATGCAATGTAGAACTAATTCTAATATATTTAATAAATAAAAAAAAAATTATAGTGAGAAAATAATATTTGTATAAATAAAATATTTTCCTTTCCAGAAATAAAGTTTAAATAATTTTCACTTAAAAAAGCACTAATATAAATTTATGTTTAGTTAATTTAGCATTAGGCATTTAAGCTAATATATTTCTATAAATTACAATATATTGCAGCTATTCCTTTATTTTTAATAGTTAATTAACTATAATTACCCACCGAATTACACTTTACATGCAAAACGAATTTTTTTTTAACTAACAGACCATAGACAGCACATAAGCAACGACAATCATTCCATACTGCCAAATCACAAACCTTTCGTCGCACCGACAGTGCATAAGCGTGTTCACCCGCCAATTATAAACTCCATATTTCTTCTCCATGCCACCGATCCAGAATGGACATCTCAGATCGTGTATACGACAGCACCTGTCCGTTCTGGAGTACCCGCCGAGTTGGGAATACCGTGTCGCGGAGAAACCTTTACCGCACCATTTTGTTCCTGGCACCCGAAGTAGCTCTGTCGCGTCGCGTTTCGTTCTGTTAATTATTTTCAATTTTTAATCTGTGCACCGTTTGAGTCAGCTGTCATAACCTCTTTTCTATACGTTCCGCCATAGATTACGGATAGTACTATATTCACTTTCTACGTGTTCCGTTGATTGCGTAAATGTTAATACCTGCAGTCCTAACTTGATTGAAATGTTTTATATTTTTTTCTGTTTTACGTTTTTAAAAAGATAGACAAACGGAACGAAGCTCATACAGCCGAGTCTGATGTGTAAATTATTTTTTTATATTTTCATATTTGAATTAAATTATAATGAAATTACTTAAATTTATGCAACAAATAACATTAAAATAAATTTATTGTTTATTAATTGTTACTTATTTCTTCTTAAATAAGTGTCTGATAGAAATAAAAAAATAGTATTATAATTTTAAATTATACATATCTCTCTTAAAACATTTTCAACGTCTAACTGCAGTTGTTAATTCACCTGCCAATTGTGACAACTAACGGGAAACAGTTAAAGACTGAAGAAGAGATATGATGATATTCATAAATATAAATAATAGTTTATTAAAGTTAATTCTAGTTTATTTTTTATGTATTAATATTTCTTGTTTTAGATTTTAGTAAACAAAACTATTACGGCAAGACATAATAGCATAATGCTGTCATTATTGTATTATTTACTGTACAATTTCATACATTGACTATACTTATGGATTTTGCAATGATATGTGCCCCTAGAACTCATCAGGGTTGCCATATGCGATTTTAGGAAATCAATTATTGATTGATTTTTACTTTAAATTTATTGTCTCTAAATTTATTTTGTCCAACTATTTATTCCATTTCTCTGAAAGTCAATGTTTTACCTAAAATTGCGAAAAAATACACAGTCCGGCAACACTGGAGACCACCAACGAAATCTATTAAAATAATAATCGTAAATACGAGGACTCGTTGTAAAACCGTCATATAGAACGCAATAAATTTATATAGGCGTTGGCAACACAGTCAACGATTCATAGAGTATCGACCATAGATCATGACAGTTTATGGCGCCATATAGAGATGGTTGTGAAAGTTAATTGATAAAAAAAAATCTCGGTAAATCTATGATTTATATAATAAAGTTTTAACTTTACTGTCGATTACGTTGCTAATTAATAAAAACATCATTAGTCTTTTTTTTATACAACATAAAATGGCAAACAAGCTGACGGCCCACCTGATGGAAAGTGGTAACCGTCGCCTATAGACATGAGCAGTACCATGGACATAATAGAGTATACTGTTTCGCCCATGATACCCCCCATGCATTGCCATTCCTGAGGACTTAGGTGTTATTCCTCTGTACCCAGTAAATTCACGCCTAAATTCAGTCTAACTGCGGTTGCCAACCCGCCTACCAAGCGTGGCAACTACTGGCAAAACCCTCCTCTTAGTGAGAGGCCTATATTCAGCAGTAAATAGTTTAAAACGGCTGATGTCGTTATGATTGTTTCTTGTAAGTTAAATAAATAAATAAAAAATTAACCTGCGTCCTCCATGTTTTAATTGACTGCTGGTCAAATTAAAAACCATACAGCGTGCAATTGAGAGCGTATCTCTTAAAGAGGTAAAATCCGAAATGAAGTGGTCAGACGGAGAATCAAAGTGGTCGATATGCCCCTCAAAGTCTGGAGCGGAGGAGAGTGAGGGTCGGTAAATGGAAGAGAAAACTGTCAGATTGGAAACCGAGTGCAGGAAAACGCCTTGAGGGCCGACGTCCTTCCAGATGGACCATCTTCGCGAGACAGCGGTGAAAAATGGTTGAAAAAGAGGACCGCATTAATTTTTCTGAATGGGTGAGAATGGAATGGTAACCCTGTCTGCGCTATCGGTATATCCTGGCGGGGCACCAGTGAAAGATGACAGGTGAAGATGACCAGGTAGTGACTTTCAAGATTTTTTTGATGGGTGAAAATGAAATGGTAACCCCGCCTGCGCTAACGGGATACACTGGGGCGGGGCACCAGTGAAGGGTGATAGATGAGAATGATAACAGGCCAGTTAGCCCATCATGATGAATTCATCAGGAATTAACTATAATAGTTTCCAGGGAGAACCGCGAGGAGGTCGACCTGGTTGGGTATATTGCTAGCAATGGGATTTTTAGTCTTCATTACTAACAATCCCTTTCCCCCCGACTTACAAGAATTAATCACGACGGTTTTTAGGAAGAGCCGCGTGGAAGTCGACCTGATATGGTTTTTTTAATGGATGATAATGAAAATGGCAGGCCAGTTAGCCTATCGTGATAAATACACCTGGAATTCAGCATGATGGTTTCCAAGGGGACCATGGGGCGGTCGACCTGATAGGGGTATATTGTTAGCAATGGGACTGGTAGTCTACATTACCAATAATCCCTTCCCCATCTGTCCTGATACGGTAAGTAATTGTCTTGCTTGTAATGAGGCTGTTAAATTTGATAACTGAAAACCCCCAACACATTTGTTGGAAAACGTTGACGGGGGCCTTTATCCAGCAGCGGAATAATTCAGAGTCATAGGTATGTGGTGAGATAATACTCACCAATGTTTTTTATATATATGTATATCAACTTTTATAATTTAATTGAATTTTTTATTGGTTAAAAAACAAGCTAACTAACATTTTGTTATATATATATTTATAACATGACGCTTGGTCACAGGACTCACTCGCAAGATGCGCGCGCAGGTCGTGCAGGCGCTTTGTAGGTAATTGTTGGCTGCGCGCGCATACCGCGCACGGGCCAGCGACTAGAGAGAGTGTTTTGTTAACTTGGACGATTCAAAAATTTATTTGTTTTGTAGTTAAATAATTATTGTTTTTTTAATTATTGATTAAATATATTTAAAAGATGAACCCAACTATTAATCCTACAGGTATATTAGAAAAAAAAAACAAAATATTTGTCATATCTATGGTTAAATTATGAAGGATGCTGCAATCTTTAATACAAAACTGTAAAGGTGAAAATTAATTTGTTTATTTATTTTATCTGTGTTTATTATAATCTCATAGTGTCTTTACTGCTTAACATAACACTATGGAATTTGGTATACACGTATTATATGGGATTTATTTATTTGCAAGAAACATGGTAAGTGTATAGATGTTACAATAAGTATAAGTCCTCATATTTCGCCATAATTAGGCATGCAAATATTAACTTAAAAAGAATAAATGTTATAAAAGTCATTAAAATTCGAAATGTTATATAAAAAAAATACATCAAAAATGTCAGACACTTGCGAACAATAAAAAAGAAAGAAATGTCACTGTCAAATCATGGACTATTGATAACAGGATGGAGAAGGCCATAGGCTATTTTTAACTCAGTAAGTAAACACTTTTTTTTATACCACTGAGGTGGCAATACGCATACGGCCCACCTGATGGTAAGCGGTTACCGTAGCCTATGGATGCCTGCAATAATCTAAACATATCTTGGTAACGCGGACAAAGTCGTACTACTGGAGGGTGGGAGGGATTGTTAGTAATGCGGAGTACCGGTCCCATTGCTAGCAATATATCCTAACAGGTCGACCTCCCCGTGGTCCTCCCTGGAAACCAGCGTGCTAAATTCCAAGTGTATTCATTACGAGGGGCTAACTGCCCCGCCTTTTTCATTCTCGTCTATCCTTCACTGGTGCCCCGCCAGCGTATACTGTTAGCGTAGGGGAGGTTTATTTTTATTTATTTATTTATTCATTAGTACATATATATGTACATGGTGGACTTAATGCTAAAAGCATTCTCTCCCAGTCAATTATAGGGAAGTGTCAGAATATTCGAATGTGGTACTAGTAATTATTGATATACATACATACTAAAATTACATAAATATAAACGAATCAATATATATATAAATAACAAATATACTTACACATATATGACATATTATATATGAAATTGAGAATAATATAAAGTAAATATATTATAAAAAAAAGTCCAATAACTTTGAATGGGTTCTCTATTTAGACATTATATATTGGATAAGTGCAGTCTGGTCCCGGTATAGAATGGACCACACTTTCCTTTCCCGTGGGTATCATATGAGGCGATTATATTACATTACTGCAGCGGCTAGCAACTGAGGCATTGATGGACGAACGTGCAAATGTGTGTGTACATGAGTATATATATAGAGGAGGAGTAACACCGATCGTCGATAATTTGGATTGTAATATCAATACTAGAAGAGGAGGGTATTTACATACTGAAAATTGCGAATCCGACAGCGGGCCGATGGGCCTATTATTAAATAATAGTAAGATACTCCTGTGCGAAAGTACACAATATAAATCATATATATATATACATAATAAATAATATATATATATATATATATATATATATATATATATATATATATATATATATATATATATATATATATATATATATATATATAATATATATATATATAATATATATATATATATATATATATATATATATATATATATATATAAAGTATAAATAAAGACATACAATATATTATCACAATGATTTGTTTGTTTGATTGTTATCTCTTAACACCTTAACGTCTGATGTTTATAATCGTCGATTAGCGCATTAGAATTTGACAAATAACTTGTTTGTTTGATATTCCAAGTTGTAAATTAATAGCAAAACATAATTTTAATGAAATACATAAATATTTTTTGTTAATGGTCGAAGAGCGACCACCCTGAGGGACGGGGCGTATGTAGTTCTTTTATTTTGGATGATAAAGGAATGGTAAGCCCGCCCGCGTTAACGGTATACGCTGGCGGGGCACCAGTGAGAGATGATAGGTGAGGATGAAAAGGCAGTACGATTTTCAGGGGGGACCACGTGGAGGTCGACTTGACAGGGTATATATATATATTTTTTTTTTTGATGGGTGAAAATGGTATGGTAACCCCGCCCGCGCTAACGGGATACGCTGGCGGAGCACCAGTGAAGGGTGATAGATGAGAATGAAAACAGGCCAGTAAGCCCATCATGATGA